TTCCGTTGTACGCGCGAAATACTAATAAATAGGATGAGAGGGAGGAAATATATACATATTTATGAACCTTTTTGCGGTAAAAATGTACTCGTATAATGCATATTTCTTACTATTATTATTGAGTAGAAATGTATTGATAATAAATACACACAACTGCATACATATGCACACATATAACATTATATATCTAACGTGTGAATAAGTCACCTTTGATGTGTTGATATGATCAATTCTTCTATTTAACTTGTTTACTACTCATATACGGGTATTTCTACTTTCTGCGAGAATGTGCGTTGTTGAAAACACACGCACATACACACTAGCACATACACACGCACAAGCCAACAACAGCTTAGCGATTCACGCGGAAATACCTTTAAGCGCCTACGCATAGATTTTAAATTGAATTCATAAGATAAACAGCGGCGAAAACACACTTGAAATGAGTGGAAAAAAGTCATATGAGTAGATGTGTATGTAGGTACGTGTATAACAATTGCCACTACTGTAGTGAAAAAGGTGAACTGGTGAAAACAGAATCAGTTACATACGTACATACAACAACAACAACAACAACAAAAAAGGTTAACCTTTTATGGTTAAACACATTCACAACAAGTGTGAGCACCGTTTCGAAACATTGCCAGCAAAGGTAAAATACACTAATATATCTAAGCATGTTTCTTATGTACATACATACGTATGTAGATGGTTGTATTCTTTTATCTTTGTTTTTGTTATTTTTAAAGTCATTCGCCGAGTTTTTGCATAAAATTAATTTCTTTTAAAATATGTAAATAAATAAAAAAAAATAAATAAAAATTATTAACAAAACAAAATATCCAATTTGCCATAATTGGCAATCGAAAGCTCATAAACCATTTAATTAAGTGAATAAAATTATATGTTTTACATTTTTTGTTTATTTATCTGCAGATAAAATTAGCTTCCATTAAGTTGTTAAGAGCGATCTTTGATGAGCTTTATTTATTTGGTGGAATAGGACTTTACTTTTCAAATTTCCAACTAATTTTATAGGAGATTTCAGATACATACGAGACATGACAATAAGGTTATGATACTGTTTATATTGCCGCAATTGTGGTAACCCTTTCCCCTTTTCTCTCGGCATCCTTCTCCCCTCCATTAATATATTTGACATCGCTCTAGCTTGTTTAGTTCGCCTGCTGTGTCGTGTTGAGTAAACGTGTGTTCGGAAGATTGCGAAAACGAGTGGACAGAGTGCGCGCAGACATCGCCCATAGCTGAATTCTTCATCATGACAACGCGCCGTGCCATGCCGTCCTCAGCGTTGGCCTCTAAAGGGATTTCCGTGTCGCCCGACTCCCGACTTGCGAATTACCCTGTGACTTTTTCGTTCTCTAGAACAAAATCGATGGTCAAAGGTCGCCCAACCAGACGGCTGGGACGAGGGTATTCGCGGAAATCCTAGTCGAAGCGTTCCAGAAATGTTGCGAAGCATGGAAACCGCGCTGGAATCGTTGTATAGCTGCCCAAGGGGACTACTTTGAAGAGAATGATAGAGTTTTAGAATAATTTCTAAATATACGGGTTTTATGGAATCAGTCTCATTACTCAATTGTCACACCTGGTATCACACCTGTCATGCTCCTCAACGGCAGAAGCAAACAATTTTTTGATTACATTGTAACTACAATAGTAGCGGTGGCCTACAGTGGGTGCGTGCGTGTGACTATCCACAAGGTTTGGCATCAAACTGAGCAACATCCAAAAATTAAATATGTTCATACCTTAGCCGTTGTCAGAAAGCTTGCTATGTCATATTCGAAATCTTGGGGCTTCATAGAAAATGTCGCTTCTCCATCGGCTTTCCTGTATAGGCTACCTCAACCTTAACTTTTAATACCCAAGACAAGTTGGGGAGGCTATATTTATTTTCCAAAGCAAAGGAGTTGACTGCATTTGCTATATCTACATTTGCTTGCAAACCAGTCTAAATATCGGTTAGTATCAGTCCACCAAGATATTGTTTTAATAATTGATTGTTTTAGAAAGCGGGGCAAATTAATCATAAAAAATGCAAAATTTTGCTAAAAGTCGTTTAAGTCGACCTATTTGAGATTCTGTGAAGAATGTTTCTCTTCAAATCTTCAACTCTAACGAAGATGAAATTTCCGACGATACAAGAATGCACCACACTGAGAGTTGCGCAGAGGCTGAAATAATGTTACACCGATTTTTCGTCATCTACATATGTCCCTGCAGTTGCGGTAAAAGTTTTCTGAGAAGTAACCTATCTTTCTACTGCGAGAAGTAAAGGCTTAGATCTATTCACTTCAATCCATTGCATGTGGTTTCCCTTTGCCATCTGCTATTGGCTTCTCTGGTGAGTCTTAACAAATACTTAGCCTATGGAAAAGGTGTGCCCATGCCATGTGAAAGTTTACAGGGGTAATGAATAAATAAAGGGAATATGGTGTTGGACGTATTTCTTCGATCCCAGAGATCACAATAAAATTAATCGTTATTTCAGCAGTGTGGGATGATGCGTTGTCATGATGTAAAAAGTTGCACCATCTTCCTGTTTACCAACAAATTTTTAAAAACTTCTGGTAAGAACTGTGCGGTGTACCTCTTCGGCCTGACCATCTTCCAATGGAATAGCAGCTTTTTTTTAGATCGGATGAAGTAAACTGGCATCATCACTTTTGCTGCTGATTTTTGTTGTCAAGATTTTAAGCAAACCCACCCGGCTCCAGTTGCGCTCCATACCATGGACTGCTGTTTGATTTCTGGATCGTACTTATAGAGCCAAGATTTGTCACCAATAAGGACCTTAAAGTTGCTAGACTGACCATTTTCGAATTTGGTTGGGAAAATTTGAGCAAAATGCACTCGAGCCTTTTTGAGGCCTCAATTAAAATTCCTGGTACGAATCGAACAGATTTCTTCGTGTATCCCAGATGATTACTTAATATTCGCGATACAGCCATGGCAATCAAGTCCAGTTCATAAGCAAATATTTCTAGTGTCAATCGTGGGACTCTACCAGAGCTACAGTGACGTCATCAAGGGAATATTTTACTCGACCTTCTCGGGGCTTGTTCTCTACGGAAAAAGTTCTGGGCTAGAAGTTTGAGAACCACTTAGAAGTAGTCCTTAAAGACAGTTCAATTGTTCTATATGCATGTTGGCTGTAAATTACGCCGGAACCCGAAGAGAATCACATGACGAATTCCGTTTGGTGTTGGTGGTGGAACTTTGTCTGACCTATCCCCAGCTATTTTGTGTATTCTAGTCTCCATTTCAGCTGATCGTTCTAAAATTTGAAAGTAAGACTAAAATAAAGTACAATAATTGCAAAAGATTTAGTATTTTTAGATTTAACAATAAAGAATTGAAAGTCGCCGACTGACGGAACTTTTGTTAATCCCTTCGTATATATTGTAATCTATGCAAGTATAATAAGTTCACTTTTGCTTAGCACAAATAAAAGATTTATCCTGTCTGCAACTCATGCTTCCCTACAAAAGCTCAGTGGTAACCCCTCCGTTGGAAATTTTCCGAGTTTGACATATTTTTCAAGGGTCTACTGCTTTGGGTAGCATTTGAAGGCGCTGAAAGGTCTATGGCAGTCAGCTGGATTAGCACGATTTCATTTGTTCGGTATCTACTATACATCTACATCTACATTTTTTCCCATGAGAGTCTGCCAGTTTCCAGCTATAACATTTTCATACATTCAGATTTTGCGTTCGAACATTTAATTGCCTGAAGTCGTAAACCAGTAGTGGTTTCTGCAGTTTTAAATTCTGACATTCTTTGTCTTCGCAGGATGGAAATTATCGTTCGACCATTCTTTTCCAAAATATACAATAAAAACCAGTTCTGGCGGTTAGTTTCCTTGTTCAATTATTGTTTCTATTATCGCTGCATAATTATCCGCTATTTTCGTATCACCATCTAGTGCTTCTCTGGTAATCTTTATGTTGTGAAGATCATATCGATATTTAAATCTTTTAAATCATCCTCGACTAGCAAAGAAAATTTTACTTATAACACTTACTTCAGCCTGAGTGGATTCAAAAATTCTTCTACCTTTTTCCATTATGACTTTTTATGAGGACGTTTTATTTCATGTAGGAAATACACTCGGTGGGGTTGAAATTCCCTGCCGAGAGGCGATCGCAATCAGAAAATTTTACTTAGTTTTTTATTTTAAATAAATTTTCCATAACTTTTGAACATACAGACAGCTGTTCTTCCCATTTCCTCTGTAAAGGTATTTCCAGAAATGGTGATTCTAGTACCAGTTGCCGTTGACAGTATTTTTTTTTTTTCTTTCAAAATTGTCCTAATTTGAGATAAACATTTAAGAGAATTCAATTTTATAATCACTTGCAAGTTTTCCAGTTGCTTTCTCTTCTTGCTTTTCATTATCACCCATCATAAATCTAAAAGATCACAATATTTGGCATTGTATTCATCGTCTTACAGGGTTGTTCATAAACGATTCCGGTGGTCAATTGACACCGCCAAGAGAGATTACGCGGCCGGGAAATTTCTCTCGCTTAACACCTTATTCGCTTCAGTTTGTGTGGTTATCTTGTTGAAACCAATTATTGTTGAAGTTGTGTTCTTCAATTACAGTCCAAGAAAAGTTTGAGAGGGAGAGAACATTTAACTCTTGAGCACTTGAAAACCAACATTAGTCAAGTTATGGCTGAGGTACCACCAAATATTTATATGTGAAATGGTGCTCGGTGAAAATACCTTAAAGGGATGCAAGTCTGCAAGAACTCGCGTAAAAATCATTTGAATAATGCAAGTGTTTCAAAGATAATGTCAAGGTTCAAACTTCATAATATCAAAGGATTTTCAAAATTTGAAAAAAAAAATATTTTAAATGCAGTTTACTTAACCTTGTAGTTTATTTTGAAGAAATTTTTTTTTTGTAATTCATTTTATTTTGTGTAATTTATCACACTACATATATATATTTACTTTTATACAAATAGATAATTAGCTGATCTTCCTAAGACACTTCATCACAAATAAAACATGAACTGGCTGTATCTGATAGCGATAGCAGCCTTTATGGCAGTGAGCAATGTAAATTCACTTTCACTAGATCCAGGTACGTTATATAGACAGAGAAATAAATTTTTGAAATCACTTAAATGTTTCCAACTTTCTTCCAGTGGCCTCCACTGAATTGGAACAATATATTAAAAAGGGTGATTGCGTGATATCAATGCGACACATACGGTAAGTTAACACCAATTTAGAAGTGAAAGTTTTCGAAATAAATGTAAACATTTCTTAAACTTCTTTCTCAACCCTTCCAGTCCGCGTCGCAAACTACACATCTCCATTGAAGCACTCTTCATGATCGATTTCCCAACTCTAAAGCACAAATTATCCTTCTTCCTCGATCGTATGAATCAACGTGTCACCTTGGATGTGACATCAAATGGTGCCACCGTATCGAAACATTTCGAATTGCCCAACACCAACGAGACAAGCACAATACGTTCGCTGGCATTACACTTTCATAAGAATCACATTGCCATGTTGGTGGACTGCAAGGAGAGCTCTACGCATGAATTAGATATCAGTCTGACGGAGCTCTATGCACAAATGGATACAGATCCGGTTATAAAGCTGGTGGGTGGTTGATTGCTTGAAGAGTAATCAATATTATTAGTACATAAAAAAAAGTAACTTTATTCATTTCATTTGTGACAGTTCAGGGAACGCAAATATCCATTGTACTTTGATGGACAGCTGGAGCCGGCATTGCAACGCACCAATTGCCAAAAGGGTGTGCACAAGCGTAATAAAGTCCACATGATGCGTACACAAGTTGCGGAGCGCGGTAGGTGGTTTTAGTTGATATTTCATTTCATGCTCATGCGTATTAAGCGCTTTTGCAACTATGTTTTTATTGTTTTTGCTCTAATTTCCATTAGTTCATCGATCACTTTCCTTTACGTTTATGATTTGTATTCCACAGAGAAGAATAAGAAACGCGATGTACGCAATTGGTTCAGCAACGATTCCAGCGATAAACATCACGATGAGGAGCGTACACCAATTGAGGTTGAGCAACGCGGTGACATTCCCATAATGCATGGCGATTGTGAAGGTATGTTACGTATATATATATTTATATATGTATGTATGTTATGTTGGCGAAATTCCAATACTTTTTGCCTGAACTCAAACCTAGTTTAGACATACATTTATGCATAAGTGCATAGAGTGTGCGTATCATGGAATTTATTACTATTTTGAGGTGAAATTTTTGGAGCATTTTTTTATATAAGGAAGGATAGCAAAGGTGCTTCTTGGTTAAGCTTTGATTCCCTTAAGTTCTTGAGGCCATGATTTCAGGTATAAAAGATCCAACTTCAAGTCTTTGTATTACATAATTCTGGCTTATAAATCCAAGATCGTATTCAGGACGATTTTAAGACGTGTGGTTTCCAATAAGACAATAATTTTTTCAGAGTTGGTCATTTCGACAGCTGTGACCTGATCTATACTCATTTTAGAATGAACCTACGATACGATTCCCCGGGACTGCTATTCAGGGGTTCAGCATGCCTAGATACTGCAAAGTTCGGCCTTATAGACTATTATAACGCGGATTGGGATAGTCCGCCAATATAAAAATTCTGAAATCAGTGCCAATCTCGACAGCAAGGGGCGCTGGAAAATGTCCTCCCTGACGCAATAATGATATCGTTGGCCAGAAGCGTAGTTAAAAAGCTAAAGAGGAAAGTGACATTTTGGGCGCAATTTTGACGTCACGACGGTCGTGTACAACTTGCTGAAGAATCTTAAACGTGATCGCTACGCAGATGATGTAGTGCTTGGGACCTGGGATAAACTCTGTGTGATCACTTGTAAGTCTTTTCGTGAGAGTAGAGAAAAGAAATAACATCGATAGCTTTATACTCTTGAGGGGTAACCATAACCGAACATGACTTTCTTTTAAACAAGTATACTGCGTCTACGTAGTTATAGCCTAGACTATATAAATATATAGCAAAAGTCACTCTAAAACTCAGAAATTCTTAACTCTTGGTCAGCTGTTCCTTGTATCACTCCACTGTTCTTGACTAGCTCAATTTCATGCACAGCTGAAGCCGTGTAACTTCTTCTCCAACATAAATTCTTCCCGAGATGACTAGATTGGACAAAGCTCCTGGAAGAAACGAGCATTTTTTTTGTTTATGGAATTGATAAAAGTTTCATGGAAAGCTCGACAAATTATCCATTGGCAGATGGTGCAAGCTTCCAGAACATTGCAATAGTTTTGGGGGGAGGGGGNGGGGGGGGGGGGGGGGGGAGACATACTACTTTAGAGGGTGGCTTGTATGAGGCAATCTAACATTATTCATATAGGCTTACTCGCGGTAAGATCATTCTGGCTCAAGGGAGGTCATGGCTGGTCAGGCTCTTTTGCTTGAGATCTCTCTATCTTTCTGGATCGCCGTTAGAACAGTTGCCTGGAAGAAGAGATAAAATTAGCAATGCACTTTCATATGTGTAAGTGCCATAAACTAGTTAATTCCAGAGTTATTTATTTAAATGATGACCTAAATTCAAGGAGAAGATTAGGGAGTGAAACGATTTTCTGTAAAGGGGTCATACTTTTTTAATGAAGTCCAGATATGTCAGAAGTGTGGTGGAAAACTTTTCTCATCTCAGGTTAAGTTAGATAAGAATGTTTTGATTTCAGTTCACAGACGTTGACTTTTTATTAAGATCGAGATTCAAACAATGATCAAATCAATGTTTAGACCTCAGAGAACACATGAGTTTCATGAACAAAAATGAGTTTATTGAACAAAAGTCTTTCTTAAACCCCAGCCAGATTAATTTGGAAACAGTAGCCTAATTTAACTTTTGATATTTGAAAATGACAAATACGTTTCAGGTTAGATTATGTTGTCGCCGTTTATACCTCGACCTGATTAAGATTCATTGTGATGCCACAAATATCCATTAGGGTTTGCTATTCAACCACTTCGGTTCTCTGATGAACGTCGTTAGAAGCATAATTTCGATACCTCAACATTATCTGCATCTTCTGCCACATCTATAATGGAAAGCTTCTAGGTATGTGAGAATTCCAATTACCTCGAACATCTCCCCTCTTTTGAAGTAGTGCAGAGCTTGCTTGATTGTGTCTTGACAGACAATTTCATTAGCTTTACAGTTTGAACCAATGGTTGACTTTCATCCGTGTAGCTTCTGCTGAATCTCGTCTAATGTGCATTTAGTACTTCTGCGAACCGCCCAGTTAGGCAGTTGTTGCCTGTGAGAACTGCTGTTACCTAAAGCAAGTGCCCTCTTTTGAAGGATAACATTTCTCGAAATCTTTTTGGGTCCCATTTTGCTTTTGCCCTAACTAAGTGAGGGCTGTTCGTAGTTTAAGTCCTCATAAAGCAATTGGCTTTCTTTCAACTGCCTTACTGCTTGATTAATATCAGATCAGGTAGCCATGTTAGAGAAAGAAGATATTTTATTATCTTCTGTAGAGGTCGACGAAAGTCCAGCACAATTTTGGAGTTCAACGTAAGTGAGCCAAGTGCTATTTTTGTGGCCTGGCTATCGCTGAAACTCATACCTATCTTTAAAGCGGTCTACGATACGCTTTGCTTTCTCCATGATAGCAGAGTTGTCCGCTTGAAAGACACTGCAATGAAGTGATGGCAATGAAGAGAGTCAGTGAGAATAAACCACCTCCGACTCTCTCTTTAACATTTGATCCATCGTGTTTTTTTCACACTGTCACCAGAGGCATCGTAATTATAATTTCATTCTTCTCTGCTGGGTACTCGTGACCTGAAGAAATTTTCACTAAAGGAAACAATAAGATCTCTGTGCGTTTTGAAGTTTTTTAAATATTTTTTTCTCATCTAAAACCCTTCAAATCAATCAAGCACAGCTTGATTTCTTTTTCGCAAAACATCCTTATTTGAAAAGCTTGGTGTCTTCGTGAATTTGAATCCACGTATACACCCATTAATGCCAGAAAAACTGGAGTCTAATTTCTACTACCAAACATATTTTTCCCGGCATCTAGAATCTAATACTCAGTGGGTTGAGGGGCTCTATTGAACCTTCCCTTTCATTTATACATAATTACCAAAACAAACTGTACGCATTTATTATTTTATGCTGGATTTATCCAACTGGCAGTGGGTGCAACTAGAGCAGCTGCAATTGTAACAAATGTAATTCTGTATAATGTATCAACAACAACAACCATTGTCATGCCTTCAGTGTCACTGTCACTGTCACTGCCATTGTCACCATAGTTCAGCAAAGGCTTTGAACAGAAATAGACAAATGCAACGCTCGAGCTAGTGCTAGTATAAAGCCATAAAGCCATAAAGCTACAACGAATAACCATGTTCAGCAGCTATTGTTAAAGCGCACCTCTAAGCTAAGCTTTGTTGGTTGGCTTGGATTACATTAAGATGAATTCGAAGCGTACTATGGGCAATATGAGACGCCTCGCAAATGTTATTCTGTATGTATGTTCAGTATGTGCATCCGCACGGCTTAAATTGCACGAGTAGTTTTATATTGGCAATACGAGCTGGAGCAGTGAGCTTGTGGCTTTAAAATAAAATAAAGAAATGATCGCAGTGATGCTTAAGCCAACACCAAGCGCTATTTAAAAAATCGATTCATATATACATACATAATAGATTCAAGTCCAACTACAGATGCATATGAGGCAACTTCCCACGCTTTGCTGAAATTGTACACAAAATATATACATATACTCCTCTTGATATATTGTTGTTGTTGTTTTTGTCGCCTGGTTGGGCGTGTGCGCAACTGCGTCATAATTTCACTGCATTGGCACGCTTTATATGTATCTACATACATACATATATTATACCTGTATAAGCCCTATAAACATTTGTGGACCATATGATTCATTGAAGTAATCCAATACCTACCCCTCTGTAGTGCGCTATTGGACCAACTCACGTCTCGCTATCAGCTTGTTGTTAACCGATGAGTGCTCGTGTTTTAACGATAGCAATGACTAAATAAGTTGAAAGTGCGCAATAAGATTTTTTACAGGGTTTTCCAATAAGAGAGATATTATTTTGAATAGTCTGCTATTCCGGTAGATGTCACTTCTAAGGCTGTGATTTTTAAAATTTTAATAAATTTTAATAAAAATGGACTAATATACGCTATAATTTTAAAATTCACTATAAAAATTTAATTGAAAAATCATCTGAGCTGATGAGCCCCATTTCCATCAATAAGCGAAACTGTCGCATCTGATGATCGGAAAAGCCAAGATTCCTTGTTGAAAAGCCTCTCCTTCCCAAACGTGTAAATGTTTGGTGCTGTTTATGGTCCGGCGGGTTGATTGGATTTTACTTTTTCGAAAATGAATGGATTCCGCTATCGATAGATGGTCAATTAACTTTTATGGCTGGAATTGGATATTATTCATCTGGACAACGTTCACTTCCAACAAAACGGCGCTACGTACTGGATAAGCAACCAAATCATCGATCTTTTGTGGGAAAAGTAGAAAACACCTATTATTAATAAACCTTTGACATCTGCCCATCGGGAAACATTGCTTCGGCTGTCACAGAAATGGCTGGAGCATTTGAGAACGTAAAGAAAGAATTCTCACTTGGGATCTATTGGTCCAAGTACGTTGATTGCTGACCAACAGCCTCGTCAACTCAACCCAACTCAGCATTTCACTAAAGCGGATTGTATTCGAAACTAAAAAGTATGTTCGAAAAAATCGTTTTATCTATCTCCATAATGTAACGCTTTATAGGTACTTCATAGAGTATCTTTGTGTAGTTATGTTGGATTAGGTTGAACTCTTCGGGTCTCACATAGACGATAATATGTCCATACTTGATCAAGCTGCACTGCTACACAATTTATTGTGGTTCTAGTCTTCCTTTCGAAAATTAGGGTAGTCGTTTTGGTCCCATGGCCATGGCCGATGGAAGGTCAGCCTACTATGCCTAATAAACATAGCCTCTTTCTGTCAAATGCTGGACACTCACAGATTTTGTCCACTATCTCTACATTTTCCTTATATTTCTTGCACCTATTGCCACCAATCAGAGCTATATTGAGCGAAATGCCCCGCTAACAGTCCCATCAGACACCGGGAATCCAACCTCTTTATGGCCAGTAAAAACTTTGTAATATCATAAACTTTGCACATAGTTTCTGCAACCCATCTTCAAGGAGTAGTTTCAAAATTAATTTCCTGTAGGTAGTCCGTGGATTATTTGGATCGCATGCGGAGGTGGTGGAACATATGGTTCTGCCTTAGGACATTGGAATGTCAATTGGAACGTGTTTTTTTTTCTATGGAAAATGTTTAGTTTTGGACTAGTCTATTGCCCGCGTGGAATATGTATATATTACACGTATGGAGTACTCACGTTGTTCACAGGGTAACCGCCATTTGATTTATTACTCACTTTTGTTTGTTGTTTTTATTTGTTAGTATTTTTTCGCTGTGTTTTTTGCACATTTGCGGCATAAACGCATCTTCTTATTGTTATTCATACATAATTTTTTTTTTTTAATCTTTTATTCTCGCCTTTAATGTCGTACGTTATATTTTTATCTCCTTTTATTATTTGTTATTTATTTGCACTTTTTTCCTTCATCTTTCTTATTTGGCTATTTGTTTTTTCTTCGCCTCGCTTTCAGACGCCCTCGCAAAATCACTGAGCGACCTAATGGAATTGGTGAAACTTTTACGCGAAGATATTGCCAACCAACGTCAAGAGATTTCCTACCTACGGCGATTACTCGAGAATTGTGCTGGTTGCAAGGAGCCAAGCAGCGGCAGTTTGCGTTTGGAGGCAACATGTCGTAACGCTAATCCCTGCTATCCAGGTAAGCTGACATAGAAGTACACACAGACACTCACCTACATTTACGTGTACTGGTGGGGTATACTTGTACATACGAGTATAAGACTACATATTTAGTTGTGGTGAAAATTTACGATTTTGTCACCACTTGCAGGTGTTGAATGCCGTGAAACGTCCAGTGGTTTGAGGTGTGGCCGTTGTCCGTTGGGACTTGTGGGCGATGGTAAGATTTGTAAGCCGGGCGTAACTTGTACGGATCGTCCTTGTTTTATGTAAGTACATAAATGAATAAGTATTGCTCAAATACATATGTACAATATATATTTAGCTTGCTTTAAATGGTATAAGATTTGAATGAAACGTGGTTTATGTAGGTTTTAATGTTATTTGATTATGAGTTATTAGAGGGCAAATTATATCTTTAAAGCAAAATAATTTTCGTTTATCGAAGACACAATAATTGAAATCTGATGAATATGAAACTTAAGTAGCAACCCATTTCTGCTTCTGAATCGGTCAAAAAATTACGACACCTAAGCTTCCTGTGGTAAATACCAAGCAAAACGGGGTTGCTCTCTACCTGATCCATCTCACAGAGTGAAAGTCTCCCTTGCCCTATGTTTCCAGCAGCGGGTACTGCATCTAATACTTTCAATGCTGGAGCGCTTTCATCCATTCGGATGGCATGATCTATTTAGCATAGCTTCTACCTCTTGATTCGCTTAATAATATCAATGTCATCGTCCAATTCCATTCCATATTCTGCGGTTGCCAATGTGCAAAATTTTTTTCTTCTCTCGACCTTGAAAGTAGAATGACTCATCGGATGTCGACATCATTCATTTTTCTGCACCATATAGTTTGGTTGAAATGAGTACGGATAAGCAGAGTTTGATTTTTGTTCGACTAAGAAAGTTTTACTTTTCAATTGCCTACTTAGTATAAAGTAACACCTGTTGGACTTCCATGCTTACATTGTTGTTGATGTTAATACTGGTCCCTATATAGACGAATCTCGAAGCTATGACTGCCAACAGTGACTTGGTAGCCGAAACGAGAATACAATGAAATATTTCGTCTTTTCCCCGTTCGCTACCAGATCCATTCGCTTCGCTCCTTTATCAAATCTTGAGGAAAGAAAATTCATCGGCGTACGCCCGCTGCTGTTCACTCTTATAGAAGATTGTATCTTCCCTATTCAGGTCTGCAGGTCGTGTTATTTTCTCCAACATTAAATTGAAGCAAGAGCTACCCTGTCTGAAACCTTGTTTCGTTCCGCTCGGAAATGTTCTTCTCAATTTTGACTGCGCTTTTGGTGTTGTCCACCGTCAGTTTATATAGCCGTGGTTTGCGGCGATTCCACGGACACATACACAGGCGTAGAGGCAGCTCCTTACTACGATGTCGAAGGCAGGTGTACTGCCCTTACTGAGCAATCATAAAGTCGTTCTTATTGTCTCTGATTTTGTATGTGTATAGTTTTCAAATTATGTCTTGTCAGGTGCACAACTTTGCTTCCGCCGTTTTTTTTCCAAAACTAAAAGCTTCATTGCGAAAAAGTGCTTATAGATTTATTATTCAAAGTATTGTCCTTCGCTAGCGACAACTTTCTCCCATCTTCCCGGCAATTTTCGGATCCCGGCTCGAAAAAAGGAGTCCTCTTTTGACGCTATCCATGAAGCAATCCATTTTTCCAATTCTTCGAAGGATTGAAAATGTTGATCTACAGGGTCGTGCGCCATCGAACGGAATAAGTGGAAGTCAGAAGGGGTGACATCTGGGGAATACGGCGAGTGGGGCAAGACTTCCCATTTCAGCGTTTCCAGGTACTTTTTGACCACTTTTGCGACGTGAGGCCGAGCATTGTAGTGTTGGAGGATGACTTTGTCATGTCGCTCTTGATATTGTGGCCGTTTTTCTTTTAGCGCGTGACTAAGGCGCGTCAGTTGCGTTCGGTAGCGATCTACTGTGATGGTTCACCCGGTTTTAAGAGCTCGTAGTAAATCACGCCGAGCTGATCCCACCAAATACAAATCATAACCATGTTTGTCTTCGACATCAAAATCACCATTTTTAAAACGTTGAAACCACTCCCGACACGTTCTTTCACTCAGAGCAGCATCACCGTAAGTTTCTGAGAGCATTTGATGCGCTTCAGCTGCATTTTTTTTTCGAATTGTAACAGAAAAGTAAAACTTCCCGCAAATGGCGAGAATTAGGCACATAAACGGACATTTTCGAGCGTGAATAAGACGAAAACAAGAACAACTGTCACTGAAACACCGATGACAATTCGTTAGGAACTGTCCACACTCACTCTAAAGGCATTATCATCTATGTATTTCAACCACCTATCGGAAAACGGCGAAAGCAAAGTTGTACACCTGGTAAAATAGATTTACTTGGAAATTTATATTATCGCCATTCGCCATGAACTTTCATTGGTAAACTCTATAGCCCTCTGATGGATCACGAGTAAAATAAGGAAATTCCTTTCTTACTAAGTGAGAGAATAGTGAGGATGTGTAATGTCGAGCTGAGTGAGGAAGGCATTTGACTGTCATTTACTTGGTAAATATCCCTTGGGTAGTCAAGAAACATCCATTTGAAGCCGAACTATAGTGATATGGCGAACCCCATCTGGTGCTCGTTATAGCCCTGCTAAGAAGGAGATCAACTTCTAACAATTTAAATGGTCTCTAGGTTGCTCAAGAAAAAAGATTGATTCACCATTACCATCTCGTTAGGTCAACGGGCTCTAAGTTGTTAATTCTACTCTCTGAAGATTGTCGCCCTAGAGACTTAAAACTGTTCTTTCAAAGTGCGCAGCAATCACAAAGAAAGCGCTTTAAGGTAACAGAGTCCTCTTCTTGTCTGCAACTTCAGCAGTAGTCGTTAGATGGTGCGCCCAACCGATCTTTTTGACTGCCCCTTATAATATGGGTCATAAGAAGACCTATAGCTGTAGATATCATCTTCCTATTTAGCTCGATAACATCATGTGACTATCTTCTCCTCAACGCATCGAGACTTTTACATCTTGAGTTGGTATCTTTAGTACTTTCCTATATTTATATTTATTATGTGGGGTACGAAGGCAACACTTATGTGTTAGGGTCTTAGAGACAACACCGCAATTTAGGGCCACATTATTCTGCAGGCCCAAACCTAAATATAACTAGTTTCAATGCTCCCTTAACACAGGTAATCCGTCCCAAAATTCTTCTGAACTTTCTTAGAGCTCATGTCTTCCTAAGAAAAAGTGGATATCGGAAAGAGTCCGCCTGAAGGATTCATGCTGTTGCTTTTTTTAAATGTTGGATCGAAGACTGCAGAAGGTGCGGAGATCACTGGCCTCAAAACAACCCTATCGATACCAGCATCTTCAAAGCAGAAGTGGGCAAATATCAAACTCAATTAATCAACTTATAATAATCGTAAACGGTATGGGAATGTGTCAAAGAACGAAGTGGGCGTACGGAATAAACTTCCGCTCAGCTGATAAACTTGCGAGAGAAGCAGCATCATTTTTTTCTACGGGACTAGAGCCCTTCTTCCCATAGATCCTCGCACAACTAAAGAGGCGCTAAGAAATGAAGACATGAAAGTCAGAAACAAGTAATAGTATACTAGTGGCGGGATGAGACAGGGTTCATATCCCTGTGCTACCATCATCCAAAAGTTTTGGAAAATTAATTTAATTAAAAAATTAAGTTAATTTTCATAGATGCAGTCGCCCCTCGATAGGGAATATCCATCCCTCCGAGTGTATTTCTGACATGAAATAAAGGCTCCTAGTAAAAAAAAACCATCAGCCGTTCGGAGGTGGCTTAGTATCACCAAACATCAAGACAAAACCACGAATTGGAGGAGGAGCTCGGCCGAAAAATCGCTTAATGCGGTTACTTAGCGCCAATTATATATGTATGTATAAGAATAACTTAGGCATACTAACAGAACTTCTTGTAGTACATTGTAGACTGCGTAGTTCTAATGAGATTTTTCACTTCTGTGTGCTAACGCCGAAAACACCTCCTTGCGAACCAGGTTACAGAAAGGCACAATATACCACTGGTCGCGGTGCAAATCGTTCCTACTCTTCTATCTATTTATCCAACCCACACAAGAAGTTATTAAAATCTAAAATCATAAAGTTTTCGAAATTCCCATTAATTCTGCCGGAATGAATATTTTCCTTTTCTTTCCGGAAAAATAAATAAAATATTTTGAATTATTAGATCAACAAAAAACACCACGACAGCATTGTTCATATGTTCAATATATTCAAAAATTAAATAACCGCTTTCATTACCCACGTGGGTATTTTTTTATTATTAAATTTCTTGCATTTATTTGCAATAACTTAAAAGTGAGTGTGAGGTCTGCTCCACATCAAACCAATAAAACAACAACAACACGCTCGCTCATACTCACTCAATGAGTGCCCACAATATGAGTATGCCCTAAAAGAAATGCACTAAAAGTCAACAACAACAATGCGCATAAATAAATAAGGTGACATTAAACGCATGCTATTGTGTCAAATTTGAAAGAAAACAAAACGTATTGAAATCCAAAACCAATGTTGGCGCATCGAAGTACTTCAACAATGATATTAAGGTGCATATTCCTACTTACATATGTATTGTACATGTCTTTGTGTGCACATACAAAAAACGTATAAAAACAGAATGTGGTACATGTGTAGCGCCCACAAAAAGGGCAACCTGTTACAACGCGCGATCTGTTAAATACTACTAGAGGCAGGTACTGAATCGCTGGTGGTTTTCTATTTAATTTTATACCCTTCACACATAGAATTTATACTAAAATACTGTTATGCTATAACGGATACTCGATATTAAAAAGGAATTAACACATTTTTTAATACTTAATAGAAAAATTATTTAATTCGATTTGAGAAGCTTTGATAGCATCACTTTTTGAAGGTAATATCACGCTCCGGGCTCTAATGGCGTCTAAGGTTACCTGCTGACCTAAACTGGCCGAAAAAGGTGGCAGCTCTTGGCTAGATAAAATCCGGATCAACTTCGGTGCAATAATAGCAATTTCTGCTGGCCGGCTACCGCGGAGTACACCTCAACAATCACCTATTAAAAGCCAAACCAGCAGTCAGGCAAAGCAGAAAGGGAGTGCTTGAGCTAAATGGCAGCATTCAGCAGTGACCGACAAGCATGAAACGCCATTTACTGGGAATACGTTAATACCTTTCTGAAGCCTTCTTTCTTTTTGCAAGTGGAAAGCTCGAGCC